AAGACATAAATATAATTCTTGTTATAAAATAGAATTTCATGTTGATTTGATGATAGTTATAGAATTTCATGGCTCTCAATCTCCACGACTAGTCGATGGTTCTCCTACGTACTTCACCATGGGTTGATGTCTCCCTACGCGCACGACTAGTAGATGGTTCGACGGATGGATTATTTGTAGCATTAATAGTAGAAGAAAAGGTCAAATTTGGAGACGACAAAGGAAAATAGTTAGATGGGCTTCCACTTGATGTTGCTGCTCCAAATCTAGTAGTAGTTTGAGAAGGAAAATAATTGAACATTCCAAGAGTTTGTGGAGGGACGTTATAGTACTCAGTAGTGGTTTGAGTCTGAGCCTGGAAAGGAAAATAATTGAACATACCATGAAACCGAAGAAAATCAATTCCACCAATTGGTTGTGGAAAGTGAGCCAAATGATGATGATAAAACTGACTCGGATTAAATGGGGGTTGGATTTGTGGATTGGGAGGTTGGGATGGTCTAACCATTTGACCAATTGAAACAACAATACTTGAAGAAGAAGCATTTTGTTGTTGAACAACTATTGAGTTTGATTTTTCGACTTTCTCGTTCACAATTGTACGAGCTTTAGAGAGAAAATCTTCGAACCATGCCGTCCACTCCTTTAATTGATCTTGATTCAAACTCTCCACAGGTGTTTGTTCCCACCAATTTTTCTCTCGACTTTGATCAATCTCATCCATTTGTTTTTCTCGTTGTAAAGTGATATCTTTTTCATCTAGCACCTCATCCAGGCGTGTGTTATGGTTTCTGAGTCTACCTTCTGTGTTATCTTCGATGGATCTTGTAAGATCATCTATCGGTAGAGTTGGATTTCGGAATCTTTGGATGACAGGTTGAATGGATGGGTGCCAAAATGAAAAAGGGTTATTAGTTGGAGAAAAAACGATTATTCCGGTGCTAGCGCCACATAGTGTGCTTAACTCTCCGGCTTTTTTGAATAAACCTCGACGACGTTTTGAAAATGTTGCGTATAAGTCGTCTTGGTTTTCGATGCGCCTCATCGGAATCCTTTGCCGACCTCTTGAAGTCCTACGAGGCATGATTCAATTTAGAATGGAAAAATATAGAAAGCAAGACTAGGTTGAGTGTAAATCTTTATGGTTGTGGAGGAATTTATACAAGAAGCTAGTCAACTGCAGTCAAATTTCTTATAATTACGATTTGTTACTGTTTATACTTATTGACAAAATAGTGTAACATGTTAATTAGGTATAGTTATGAACAAATTTGGAAATGCTTGTGGGGGATTTTGTGATATTTGAAAATCTCATTTGATATTATTTGACTATGACAACGAATTGATGTAGATTTATGGTATCATCTTGAAAGATTAATTTGACTTTGAATTTGGAACATTTTTTATATTACTTTTTATGCCCATTGAATTGCAGGAATATACCTGAAATGGCCGACATAAAAAATATTATGGACATTCAGTTTATGTAACATATAATAATCGGCTATTTTGATTTGCAAGTTTCCAGTCAACACATTAATTGCCAAATTGGTTTTGATGTTTGGAATTAACTCCAAATTTGTTTTGATGTACGAAATAATGTGATGATTATGAAGTTATGATAGATTCAAATTATTATCTTTACGAAAGAAGAATAATAAGTGGGTACAATATCGGTAACTTAAGTAAATTAAAAGAAATAATCAAATAAGAAAACATTAAATAATAATAATAATAATAATTTTGGAAAATAGTGAGATTTACTTAAAAATGAAAATGAAAAAAGGAATATATATGGATATTAAGTCTAGACAAAACTAATTAAGGAAATAAAAAGAACTTAAAAAGTAATGTATATTAAATTTCATTTTTTAAGTAATAAAAACAATTTTGACAGAAAAACTATAGTCCAATTCTAAATATATGCATTATCCAATTTTTCTTAGGTATTTAGTCTCTTCTCGTCACATGTTCCTGCAATTGTTAAAATAACAGGCAAAAATTAATTAAATTACACGATATACACATCAGCTTACTAGGTACGTAGGTAGATATACACATCAGCTTACCAGGTACGTAGGAATAGATTTTCTTCCAAATGAATTTTCAATTAAGTTACTTAATTTTGATGAGTATGATTTATACATTATTAAATTTAGTATGTTAAATTTAGAATTATAAATCAGACATTTTGTGATATACTCACACGAAATTTCTTCACTGTTAGATAAATCATATCTAAAAGTAAAATAATGGCATGATTTTAGATAAATAATTGAAAATCCATTGGCTCACCTGTGATTATGTAGCGGGTTCATAATACATAAGCTATGTTGGGTACTGATTGTTATAGCGTCTAATATTTATAGAGGTCGCGTTTTTCAGTTTATGCGGATTACATATTTGTATCTTATATCGTTCAACTATACGTCAACAACTATATTATAGATAAAAGCAAGATAGATTTTGTACAATCTTTATATTTTCATGTTTGCGTCAATGATTGTTTATAAAATTAAATAAGATTTATATAATTTCGTATATTTTATGTCATAAGTGAATCGTTCAACGATTGTACGTGAACGATTGATTATAAAGTCGAATAAGATTTTATATAATTACATATTTTCATGTTATATATGAGTCAATTGTATGTCAACAATCATAATATTCTATAGGATTCGGCTTATAAAAAGCTAGAGAGAGCATCAACTACTATTAAATTTAATTACATTAGGTTCTAGTCATAGAAAGATTTGCATAGAAAACATCACTATAAAAATAAATATGAAATGCAAGTATTTAATTTTATTTCTAGTACGTAGTATTTCAATGAAAATTTTGGGGCACTGTTCATCGGAATTGTTATAGTTAAGAATGTTAGTGGACTTATATAGGCGATTTCAAATCTTCCAAAAGTTTTGGAAGTATACATTTTCATATTACAGTTTTTAAAATGTAAAGAGTATTCAATTTATTTATTACTTTTCGCATTAGTAATTTTGACATATTAAAACTTATTTAATTTTCAAAGGCAACAAAATGCTACTACCAAATACTAAGTACTAATCACTTAAAATAAGTCGACATACTTATTTTTATAACTATATATGTAATGAAGTTTTAGAATACGGATATAAAAGGTATCTACACTAGCTAGATGGCTATTAAATTAAGATATATTTTATATTTGACAGAAATTGGAGGAAAACGGGTACGGTCCCACTAACATGAAGCGGTCCCACTAACATGAAGCGTGCGATTTGAATATGCGAAATATGCGAAAGTGATATATCAATTGTGAATTATATTATCGCAAAATGTTTCATGGCTTGCGATTTGAATATGCATTGATATATATGCGACAAAATCTTGCATAATTATCAATTGTGAATTATATTATCGCAAAATGTTTCATGACTTTTGGGGTAGAAAAGAAATTTTATGATGGGTCGATATGAAGAAAAAGTAGTTATAGAATTTGGCGTAAAAGATACACGCCCTTAGGGATGCTTGGATATAACTTTTTTTGATTTTGTTGGATTTTTTTGATTTGGTATAGTTAATTTTGAAAAGTGACATGATTTGTTGTTAGTGGAATTTAGAGTTTCTATTAAAATAATATTTAATATAAAATAATTTAACTTGATTTGATTCAAAAGTAGGAGAGAGCAGTGGCGGATGCAGACTCGCAAGACTGAGGGGGCACAAACGTAACTTTTACAAAGTGAAAAAAAATGATATTTATTCTCTGCATGTTCTTATACATATGTCACTCATAATTACATAAATTCAAATCTCAATATATATATATATATATATATATATATATATGTATATCTTTTTCAAATACCAACATTTTTTTTCTTCTGCATTGGATATTCTTACAACGTCAGCAGTCGTGGACTTCTTTATAATAAAGATAAATATTTTATTGGTTAAAAAAATAATGACAAACACAATTTAGTAGCTAATTATAATTTTAACAACACCTAAAATTCAATATGTATCAAAATCAATATTGACTTTTGTGGAAAATCGATGTAACTCCTTTATATATGTTGCCTACAACACAATACAAATACAAAATGCAAATAACTTAAATTTAAAAAAAAAAATCTCTCTATAACTATTTTATAATATAATTATATATATACTAATTTTTTAAAAAAATTACACAAGGGCCCGTGCCCCTACGGGCCCCTGCCTAGGTCCGCCGTTGAGAGAGAGGTGATGTAAGTGATTGTTACTTAAAATTATGTGAGTAGATGAATAGTGAATCAAGGTTGATGTAATATATAAGAATAGTTGAGTGATATTATTTAACTATATTGATAATATTGAGGATGGTGAGGTTGAGGTAATGTTGAGTTAAATTTGAGTCAAAAGGAAAGATTGATTAAAAATGATTAACTTTTTTTGAATAATTTTGTATCCAAACATCCCTTTAGTGACCAAGCAAAGCTTTCTTGAAGAGGCTGGGTTACTTCTTTTTCGGCGCTCGTCCTTTCTTTATTTAGATGTTGAGGCAAGGCAAGCCCCCAGGTTGCTTGCAACAGGATCATTGTTTTGAGCATGGTTTTCAAAATCGGACCGGATCGGTCGATCCGACCGGTTCAACCGGGAACGAGCCATCATACCGGTCCAGTTTGAAGTAGTAAACTGCCTGTGCCAAACTGGTTAAAAATCATCCGAAATGGTTAAAAACCGGTTAAACCAATAAACCGACACCGGTTTTGCGGGCTAACCGATTCAATTAATGGTTTTGGATGGAAAAGCTAAAGCTATCATTTATATAGCATGCTTTTTTTTCCTTGTGCTGTCCATGAGGGATATACATCCTCTTTTCCTTGGTTTTTATTTTGGACTTGGGCTTACAAGTTGATTTTGGACTTGGGCCTATAATATTACTTTAGACTAATTCATAATCCTAAAAATTGTGAAGGATTTGTAAGCAAAGGTCCAATTTAGATGATTGTCTCTCCTAGTGTAACTATATTATATACATGTGCTAAAATTTTCTTCTCGTGTGTGCAATAATTTTAGTTTAAATAAATTGTGCAATATGAGGCTTAATTTAAAAATTACTTTAATTTCATAAAAATAAATCAAATTAGTTTTGAGGATTGGACTTTGGAGTCCAAATTATCAAAACCAAAAAAGCCCAAAACTAAAAATAATAAAAAACTTAAAATCTAATTTAAAAAGTAAAATACAAATTATTATCTATTATGTAACTTTAAATATATATTAAAATATAAATAATAAAATAAGAAAAGTTATCAACATTTTTCAACATTGTCGGTTATATCTATTAGTGCGCTCTTATTTAGAGAAATGTCATTATACACTATAAAATTAATGATAAAGTATATACATCTATATATATTAAAATAAATAATAAAAATATATATTAATTAAACTGGTTCGACCAGTTTGACCACTGGTCCGACAGTGAATCATTGAACCGGTAGCTTCACCGGTTCGATGACCGGTTCGGTTTTGAAACTAGTTTTGAGGGAGGGATTATGTGCAAAACCTTGTTATTTTTATTTATTTATTTATTTATTTTCTGTAGGAATTTTAAGTTAAGTGGATTCCTGAGGTGACGGGTTGCAGGATCAAATTTCGAAAAAACAAAAAGATGAGAATCAATTAGGTCATGGTAGCCTGTCCTCCTTTTAATAG